GAAGCAATACAGGGAGGAGGCTCCATTCTATTATGAAGTTTTGATGATATATGATTGAAACCTAGGATCTGAAGGAATGTTGAATCTCAATTCATTGTTGCAAATTCAAACATTATTATGCTGAAGTCAGAGAAGACATATAATTGCTTTTTCTAGGCCTATAAAACAAAGGTTGCAAAATAAGAACTAAATGTGAAATAAAAATATATACATTGCAGAACTACCCAAAGAACAAGTCTCAATCTGCTTTTGCTAGTGAAGCGCAGGAGGCTAACTAGAATAAGTAGCTGGTAAATTGCTTACATAGACATCAAGAGCTTTGATCTAGCAAAATTTACTTGTGACCAAATCTCACTGAAAATAATGTTAGTTGTGACACTCATAGCTTTCAAAGGAAAGTTTAGACCCACTGAGCTAAATGGGACTTAGTCTGAAGTAAGTTTTCATAGGGCTGGAGTCAAATGTGCCCAAGGAAACAATCCTAAATTCACCTATCCAGAAAAAGCACTTTTCTGAAAAGGTCCCACTGAAATCAGCATGCATTAATGTCAGTGTGTGTAAGGGGATCAGATTGCATTATTCTTTTAAGACTGGGCTGCATCTTGTTTAGTTTCTGGTTATAAACCTACCTAACTAAACATCTTGATGGGCTGACTGAATTCAGCAGGAATTACTTCTTCAAGAGCTTGCTTAAGATCATGCAGCATATGTACTAGATTTTTATCTTTACTTGTCTAAATATTTATTATTGTGCGTTATATTGTGTTTTTCAGATCCAGTTTCAGATCCAAATATCCTACAAGCATGGCCAGCCAAATTATACAATGCAAACTTATATAAATAAAAAGATAGGATATTCCCAATGGAAAACTCCTGCATTCACAGTTTATTATCCTGAGATAATATAATATGAATTAATGCCCTTATATTTTTCCCTTTCAACAGAATTATTCATTCATGACATTGTTGTATGTGTACGTTATTTTTTCTTATTTGTTTTTGATTGGGGAAGACTAGAATGTTCATGTAAGCTGAAACTATTATGTTAAAATACAGGAAAATTGCATATAGGGAGACAGGTATAAAGCACAGTAGAATGGCCACAATGTATATTCAATTCTATAAAAGTTGGAGTTGGAGTAGTTAATTACAAAATGGTATATATTTGGTTAGAGTAGAACATTGGTACTTGCCATCATCTTCGAATTGAAACTCTCCTGTACTTTCCTTCCTTTTCGTCAATCTTTTTCATGGCAAGGAAAATGCATTAATGAGAAAATGGAAGGATTGCTGCCCAGTGTCCTTTGATAAGTAGCTCTAGAAGGACTCTGGAAATAATCCTTGCTACTCCAAACCTCTGTTATTTGGATACACATCCCACAGATTTTTAAGAAGTTATAGTTAGGTAACTGTGTTTAGTTCAAAGCCCTAGATTTGGTACTGTTTCTATGTTTCTTAATAATGAGACTTGAGATTTTGTATTAAATAGCATTAACATTGTACTGTTCATGTCGTTTAATAGGTAATGCAGGAACATTAAAACTCTGTGCAAGAAAAAGTGCCATTAGTTTCAGGTTTACACCTTTAATACATATGTGTGGAACATTTCCTGGTTCTTATTGCCTTTGCAAGAAAACTTGTTGAGGGCCACATACCAGCAATGTCTGTAAGGCAAAAGCTCAATGTGAGCAGGGTCAAAACAATATGTGTAAGATCAGACTTAGCAATAGAGCGCGTGCGCGCACGCGCTCTCTCTCTCTCTCTCTCTCTCTCTCTCTCTCT